GGCGGGCGCCTTGTTCGTCTCGGAAGCACAGCCGCGGTCTGCCGAGGGCACCGCGCTCAGCCCGAGCCGCACAGCCCCGGACCCTCCCGCGGCCCCGCGCGCGGATGCCCGGGACGCTGTGGTGTGCGCGGGGGCCGGTTCCGTTAGCGCCGGCGCGTGCTTGCATGCTTCGAGCGGGTCTGTCCGGTGTGACTTTCCTTTTTCAATAATTTGCAAACCAGGTAACGGCACCCTCGTAGCTGTGTAGCGATCACAAATCTGCCCCATAGTCTCTTTACATAAACTGCGGGACCAGGCGGAAAACTTTGGAACAGCATCTCTGGCCGTGTAATTAAGGGTGGCCTCGATCCCGGGGATCCTCCTGCCTCAGGAAGAAGAATCTCGGTGTAACTGAGGACTGTGAAACACCAACATTCACTCGCACATGTTCAGAGGATACATTAGTAAAATACAGTTCGCACGAAGGGGTTGTGGAGCTTCTAAAGTTGTAAGTGGTGCTATTTTTTAATGCGCTGCACCACAAAGAGTATACTGTGCAGTCTTATCGAAGAGGGAAAACATGTCACATTTTAGTTCTTCTAAAATGTGAAGTAAAGATTTTCACTAGATGTTCATCCAAGAATTGATGAGTGTAGGATGGAGTTGGGAATACTTAGATTATAGAGTTTTTTTGGGTTTTTGTGGTTTTTTTTTTGTCTTTTTGAGTCAGGGTCTTGTGCAGTTCAGGCCGGCCGTGAGCTCACTTTGTAGCCCAGGCTGGTCTCAGCCTCCCTTGTGCTGGGATTACAGGCGTGCCACCACGCCCGGCTTTGTTGTCTTTTTGAGACAGGGTCTTGCCATGCAGTTCTGACTGGCCTTGAGCTCACTTTGTAGCCCAGGCTGGTCTTACCCTCCCAGGTGCTGGGATTACAGGCGTGTGCCACCACGCCTGGCAGATTATAAAGGTTTAATCTGCCAGTTAGCATTTGAAACTTTTTTTTTTTTTTTCCCCAGGCACTGGGAATTGAACTCACGACCTTGTGCTTGCCAGGCAGGTGCTGTGCCGCTGAGCTAAATCCCCAACCCCAACATTTGAAATTTGACTCATTGAAAATCAGGGACATTTCACTAACACTATGAACGTACAGAGGTACTGTAATAATGATAGTTTTTCAAGGTTGTAGTTATCTGCTTTAATAAGCAGTGCTCTGTGGGAATCAAGGGAATCTCCATATGGTCCTTTTCCAACCAGTTTCACTGTCTTAACTGCAGTCTCCCCGTTACTGTGCCTACTAATTTTGTTTCTTCCTTGTCCCCCCCCCCCGCACCCCAAGATTGAGCCCAGGGCCTTTGCACTGAGCTACATCTCAGCTCTTATTTATCTATCTAAGGCAGGATATTGCTTCATCTAAGTTGCCCAGCCTGGGCTGGAATTTTCAGTCCTTCAGCCTTGTAAATCAGTCTCCTGGAATGGTGGGATTACAGGAATGTGTCTTTTACTCTTTAGGTTTCCTCTTTATTTTTTTAAATTTTTATTTATTTATTTATTTATTTTCCAGTACCGGCAATCGAAC